GTTGAATTCAGTTTGCAAGTATCTTGTTGAAAATGTTTGCATTTATGTTTATCAGAGATATTGACCTGTGTTTTTTTTTTTCTTTGTTGTGTTTTGGAAGTGGAATAAAGCTAGCCTTGTAAAATGAGTTTGGAAGTATTCATTCCTCTTCAATTTCTGGAACAGTTTCAAGAAAATTGGTGTTCTTTAAATGTTTGATGGAATTCAGCAGTGAGGCAATCAGGCCCTGGATTTTTCTATAATGGAAGAGTCTTTACTACTGATTCAATGATTCAATGTTCTCATTTATTATTGGCTGAGTCAAATTTTTTATTTCTTCATAACTGAATCATGGTAGGTTGTATGTGTTTCGAATTTTATTTTATTTTATTTTATTTTTTTTAAGTTGGGACCTCACTTTATCACCCAGACTAGAGTGCTGTGGTATAATCATGGCTCACCACAACCACAAACTCCTAGACTGGGTGAAGTGATCCTTCTCCCTCATCAGCCTCCTGAGTAGCTGGGACTAACTACAGGTATGTCACAGGTGTGTGCCACCATACCTGGCTAATTTTTTTTTTTTTAAGAGACAAGATCTCACTGTATTGCCCAGGCTAGTCTCGAACTCCTGGGCTCAAGCAATCCTCCCACCTCAGCCTCCCAAAATGCTGAGATTACAGGCATTAGCCACTATGCCTGGCCAGAATGTTATCCATTTCTTCTTTCTGCAGCAGTTTTTCTGAGGAGTTGACTCTCTTGTAGAACTGGCTGTTGGGACAAACATATGTATATGCATGGCAGTTTGCCCTACTGTGTGGCAGACTGGGAAAGCAGGGTCACCACTAAATTGGTTGTTGAACCACTACAAGCACAAATGAGTGTGGCCAGATGGCCAGCTACATGGTAGATTAATACTCTGCAGGTCTGTCTGTTCCCTGGGAGTGGCAGTAATGGGTGTCACATGAGTTCAGACCCTTAGTTCCATTAGGCCTAGATTCCAAAGAAGCCAAGTATATAGTTCTGCAGGCACCCCCCATGAACAGGTAGAATGATGGCAGGGCCTCAGGAATGAATACAGTCAATAGCTACTGCAATTGCTGGCAAGACATACTCTAACAGTGAGTCCAGTTTCAAGACTGTGCCATGTTGAAGCAGCTGAGGTTGCAGAAGTATGGAGTGGTCAATATGGGTTCCTACTCTGGGGCAACACAGTCATACATACTCCTAGCAACTTTCCAAACTGGATTCCAACTTGTGATGACTGGGGTACTCTCCTGAAGCAAGGACTGCTGACATCTGTGACAGCAGTAGAGACCATAGAGAATCTCCAGCTTACACTTTCCTCATAAGAAGTCACCTGTGATTCCTAGCTGAAGAGGAATCAGGCAGGGAGACAGTGCTGCAGAGGCAGGGTGTCTTGCTGCGCTCTGTATGGTGCTATCCTGGACTTTGATGCTCCAAAGAGATTTTGCTGTTCCTCTAGTACTCTTCAGCATATTTTTCCTCAGTCACTCCACTTGAAATATAGTTACTGATAATTGAATATATAGTCAAGTATAGTTAAAATATAGTTGTTTGGTCCTCTTGGATGAGGATACTAGAAACAGGCAACTTTTTGACCATTTTACTGACATCACTTTAATTGTCTAAGTTGCAAAAGTTGAATGAGGGTAATAGACACTTCAGGTAATTGTTATAAGGATTAAGGACATTGTCTGTGACATACTTGGTAAACTATAGAGAGCAAATAATGCATTGTCAATTAAGCATATGCAATATATTTGCCCCTAGATAGATTGCTTTACCTCTTTAGAGCACAAAGTTTATCTAAAATTTTACTTCTATCTACCAGTCTTACCACCAAATTTTAAAAAGAGTTAAATCCCAACATCTTCCTTACCTTATTGTAAATAGTGCCAATTCTTTCAACTACCATGAATTCACGATGCTCTAATTTAGGGATGCCTAAGAAAGAGGTTTAGGTCTGGCACTTTCTCTGACTTAATAAAGTTCTTTCTGCTAGTAGCTCTCCCCCTTTTAACTCGCTGGATTTTTGTCTCAAGATTTTCATGGGTGTCTAATGTCTATTTTAATGAATTGTCTTTAAGAGTCAAACTAAGTAAACACATGGAAATTTTTCATCTTTATTTTTAAATCATTTCTGTTATTATTTGTTATAAAGCCTTTGGCAAGTCACTGCATTTTTCTGGATTCTAGTTCCTTTATATGCAATGAGGGAATATTATCAGTAAGTCTTATGGTTCCTTCCCTGTTGCAAGAGTCTTTTGTTCTTTGGTTCTTATCTGTTCTGGCCTGAGTTCACATCATGCCTAAAGAAAAAGAGGTACAGTTCAAAACAGACCATAAGCCTGAGATAAGACAGAGAAAAATGGAGATCCAGATCATAAGAATTCTTCAGGTTCATTGGTTTTGTTCTTTATCACAAGAGTAGTAGGAGAGAATGACAGTGTTTTAAGTAAGAAGGTAACTTAGCCTGTTTTGCATTTACAAATGTCACTCTGGTTGCAAAGTGGAGAACATATTGGAAGTTGAGATGAAAGCAAAGTAGAAAATTAGGAGGCTTGTTTAAAATATATATTTACTTCCATTACTACATCCAAGTTTTATTGTATTGCCAATGGGACCGATGCTACTTTCCTAGTTGTTAGAGTTAGCTAACAATTTAAGTTTGACTTTGAGTCACATTGAGGAGCCTTAGTGCAGGTCACAGGTTCTCTTGATGTGACCTTTAGAAATTTATAGATATAGGTTTTAGAAATAGTTTATATAGATTAAGAAATTTAAGTAA